ATTAAGGTAATGAATTAATCTATCATTCATTTACAATTTATTCACGTGATATTTATATATATATATATATATATATATATATATCGTGCTTATTCTATTACTTTTTTCACAAATAAATACACTTCTATTTTATCTGTAAACAATATCATAAAAAGTATAAACAATGATTCTTGCTGGTTGCATACCCACAAATAACCTTCAAAGTAGCAATGAACATAGTATTACCTCCATAATGTTACATTTTAGTATGTATACTTCGATAATATTGCGTGTGAACCTTTAGACTCTTATAGCGCGACCAATTGCGAAGCTCCAGTAAATAGCCAGTTACAGTAATGGAACTTACTCCTGCACGCTTTTCCTACTCCCTAAGTTGGTGCGCAACTCCCCATTTTACTGCGCATGCAATCCGCAGTGGATCCTGTCTCAGTAATGAATCGTCAACCAATCAGAGCTAAGAAAATTTCTATATTGAATCTCGCTAACGGCCTAGAGATGTACAGAAGTAGGGGTCTCATTACTGTAATCAAAATGAAGATAAAACAACTTCCTCTGATCTCAAACTTCTTGCAGTATCCAGAATTACGCGACCTTATAGAGAGAATATGTGCATGTGCAAGTGCATGATATTGTTTCAAAATATGTAATAATTTTATTTCTACTTAATTGCAGGTTTTATTACCAAGCAACTGAAACAAGATAAATTACCTTATATATTTACATATAATTTAAGTTGAACTATATAATACTTAGTTTCGTCCATTTTTCACTAACAGCCCACAACCATTTGGCAACTTCATCATTTTTAGCTTCTTTAGAAGGATCCACGATTCTACAGTTACTGTAACAGAATTGATATTTAAACAACATTTCATTTAATTTTAATTGATTTTGTTAAAATTTACCTGATGTAAGCTCCCGTTACATCATTCAGAGATGAATCTAGTGCTGCGTATAAAACAGGTTGTGCTCCCTGTTTGGGTGACTTGACAAACAGCCATAAAAATACTCTTGCAAACAGTCTGGAGAAGTAGTTTTGGCTGAATCCCATATGTCTAACTATTTCTGTGTTTACTATACCTGGATGTACCGCATTCACTGTAACTCCAGTTCCTAAAAGATAGAATAATAATAAGACAGCAAGTTTAATAAGTATGTTGAACATTACAATTATAGATTACCTTTCAATCTATTCGCTAATTCTCGTGTGAACAAAACATTTGCCAATTTACTTTGGGAATATGCTTTAGCAGGATCATACTTCTCTGCACTGTTCAGATCTTCCAATTTAATTTTACCACCTGCATGAGCAGCACTCGATACATTTACAATCCTCGCTGGTGCAGTATTTTTCAAAACCTCCAGTAACAAATTTGTCAATAAAAAGTGCCCCATATGATTTACCCCAAGTTGCATCTCAATTCCTTCTTTAGTATAACTCTTTTTACATCTCATTACTCCAGCATTATTTATAAGAACGTGCAGTTTTGAGTGTTCTGCAATCAGGAATAATAATCTGTATGTAATATTTGGTTTACTTCAATGTTTCAAGTAAAACGTTATTATGTACCTTCCTTGAATTGGTTTACAAAATTTCTGATACTTTCCTGAGATGCTAAATCACATTTTCTACAATAAATATATTTATTCTGGGTTTGTAATACTATTTCAATACGTGCCTATAACAGGAGACATTAATTAGTTCAAGCTAATCTAAAATAAAATAACATATAATTATGAAGGTTTTCTTAATAATTAATTATACTCACCTCTTCGCATTTTACCATGTCTCTACATGCCATAATTACTTTAGCTTGGCGCGTTGCTAAATTGCGAACTATTTCTTTACCAATGCCAGTATTTGATCCTGTTACTATAATAACTTTGTCTTTCACATTTTCTTCGGTTTCGTATTCTGATCTAATGATGTAGTCCCTACATAAATAATACAAATGATTATAGAATAAATTTCGTAATCATTATAAAATATAAGTTTTGAAAAATTAATTAGGTACAATTATTTAAATATATTACCGGAGTAAGTAAGCCCCACCAACAATAGTTATACCTGCAGAATAATAATAAAAAGGCTTTGGGACTGTGATGTGCATTTTTATAATTGTTTTCTTTTTCTAGATACTATTAGAAATGTGTACAAGAGATGGGCATTCAGAATACCAAGGACTAAGGAGTTCCCTTATTTGTTGAATATAACCTAACATCGTACCCAAGTAGTACTGTGTGCACATGTAGTACACTTGTTTCGGTTTCATTCATAAAAATTCTATCATAAAATGTATGTATAAGAGAGAAGGATCATTGAATCTTATAAGTAAAAGACGAGATCTATTCTCATAGAATGACTTATCGCTTTATGAAGATACACCTTACATATAAATTATATGTGTACACATTTATAAAAGAACTATTTAACCTTATAATCACACTTAATAATGTTTAACTCTATACTTCAATTTATAATATCAACTTC